GATGTTACAGGCCTGACCCCTCCTTTAGTAAGGTCCACTGAAGTCTTTCTCCTTTTAGTTGCAGAGACATCTAAATAACACTCCATTTATTGTCTGCTTAGTTGAAGAGGTCACAAGTGATATTCTCAGCTGACAGCAGGTTGTTATCTCCAAACTGATTGCCCTTGTGGAGAAATAGCTGTGTTTGCTCTATTGACCCACACATTTCTGTGTGTGGCTCAAATGGTCTGCCTCTCAATTCAGTCTCCCACAACAACTGCACATGGGTGAAATGCTTGCTTTCTGTTCATAACAAATATATCTCCAGTGCATTTGTAATGCAGACTAGGTAAGATTTTGCAGTTGCCTGATATTCAATGGCTTCCTCTGTCTTCATTGCAATTCTTCCTGAACGGCCAATTTTCCCACCAGTCTCAGTTAATACCTGTTCTGATACTGCCCCATTCTCTCTACCAGAAAGCATCTCTTTTCCATACACCATTTCAATTGTTCAGACAGGCCTATGTAGTTTAATGGACACAAAATTGATTAGATAAGCACTTAGGCTCAAAGGTCTGGAGAAACCTATGTCATCTAAAGCATCATTCCCTTCTTTAAAGCCTTGCAGAATCAATTTCCAGCCAGCCAGACACACCTAAATGTGAAGTTGGAGAAGGCACCAATCCATTTTTACCTCTTCATAATGCGTATCACCAGCACAGAGGAAGCAACTGTTGGCTGGTAGGTGCACAGGTGTAATAAAAGACTTCAGGTGTTGCTAGGTGAAGCCAGCTTGTATTTGCTTTTATTTTGGGGGAACAGCATATGGCAGATTTTCACTAAGCCTGAGGTCAACCAGATTTCTAGGCATAGAATAATTTATAAGAACACGTCTTTAACTTTCTAATCATCAGGACAGCACATTTTTCAGCCTGTGCAGCATGCTTTGCCTTGGTGCCTAGAAGAGCTATCTCATTTTTCACTCACAAACCTGCCAAAGTTCACAGCCTCCCGTGTATCCACAACCTGTAAATTGTCTGGGAGTCCACCTAAGGATGCTCTGCTCCGTGATCCCGGGACTGCACACCTTTGCCTTCTCAAATCCACAGGAGCCTATCTTCCACATTTAATCAGATAGACAGAGAGACAGTCAGACAGAAAGAGAGGTCCATCAGCTGCTTGTTGGCAATCAGCAAGAAGCCAAATGAACGGGCAAAAACATGCAGTAAACTATGTCTGAGGTAAAGACAGGTTCTTCCTCTTCTCACACAGAAAGAATAAGAACCCTTACTGGTTTTCCTCTTATTTTTTTGCAGGACCACCCAGTCTTTAAAACAAGAGAGACACCAGAGAGGCTCCTGTAAATGCACCAAAGGGTTATAAATCTTCGCTCAGAGAGGAACTGAAAAAAGAACAGACAGACTTCCTGTTAGAAGTGACCATGGGGATAGCCACACGAGCAGAGACCAAGAAAATGAAGGAAGTTGAGGGACCTGGGAAATCTTATCGAGGAAGATATTAAGAAAAATGGGCTTCAAATGCAGCCTGTTTGAGCTGTTATGGAGAAACTGGCCAAAGATGCAGGGAATTTTGATGAAGATGCAACACTCTGAGTCCATGCCCCACCACTTGCCATACCTTCCCACTGCTATCCTATAGCTTATGGGAGAGCCTGTATTTGGGGGAGGCCAGTCCATGAACCAGGGCATGGACCAGAATCAGCCCTACTCAATATAGTCTCCTGAAAAAAATCACAGCCCACCAGTGAAAGAGAATGGGTATCTGATAATCAGAGGTGGAAGAGTCCTTTAAGAGGATTCTTTCTGTTGTAATATTTGCAGTCATGCACTTTAATCCTTTAGAGCTTTGTGTAAAATTTTGCCTTTTCCAAATGTGACAGAAATTGCCAATACATTTTGTCCTGATTACTCTGCACTTTTTTGTTACCTGAACAAAACACTGCAAAAAGAAGTAATTAATCTGATCTCGACCAATATCGTGCAGGACACAACAACGGCACATGCAGAGAATACTATCTGCTCTTTGCAGGCATCTTGCAAAGGTGTGCACCAGGATTATCTTCTGCCTTGCAGCAGGGTAGGTTCTTTCATTCTCTGCAGAGCACAGAAGTGTCAGGTTTTTTATTTTCAGATAGAGGACTCTGAGCCCCACGTGCAGCTCTGTGTGTGGAGTGAGTGGCACAGCTCCTGCCTGGAAGCTTCCCTGCCTGCTCACCAGCTCTGATCGCGCCCGCATCTCTGCACATGCTGCAGCAGCCTGCCAGCTCGGGCTGACCAGACCCATCCCTACTGGAGGTGCCCATTGCCAGCTTCAGAGGCATTGGTAAAACAAAAGGAAGCAAGACTGGGTTTATGGACAGGGTCTGTCACACACCACTGACTCAGGTGGGGAAAATGAGTAAGCAGCTTCTTAGCTATAAATAAGTAGAGAAGAATGCTGCTAGTATTTGATGTTTCAGCTTGGGAAACACATAAAAATCCCATACTCCCTATGTTGAAACATACTTAGAGCTCTCTTAAACAGTAGATGGTAAATTCTTAATAGAAGAATTGCAACCAGTTCAACCAGCTCACATCAATTCTAGGCTAGGCTTCCTACTGTCCAGTTCAAATGAACTGATCACTGAGGTAAAAATGTTATTTTTATAAACAGAGCCTTCGACAAATTATATAAACCGGTTCCTCCAAAAAGGTTAATATTCTGGGTACATAAAATTAACAATTAGCAGACAATGAATAAACAATATGTGTTAATGGGATAACACCATTGAAAGGCAACAAAATGAAATGGTACATAATGAAATTGTGGAACGCAGCATTTATCCTCCACAGGCACTGAGCCTGCTGGCAAGGGCTGCTCTGGACAGGAGCTCAGGCTAATGGAGCCACAAGTTTGCCGAGTTCACCTTATCTGTCCCACACACCACCTGGTCAGTGATTGCAGATGCTATTAGTAGCTGCTGCCTCCAGGTCCAGACGTGGAGGCTTCCTAACACCGTCCTCCCTCTCTCAGGTAGCTTCCTACCAAGAAACCCTTGAGCTGATTGTGAGAAGAGGGAGCAGGTGTTGACCACTGGCAGAAGTACCCCTGAGATTGACTTTAGTAGAAAGGTTTTCTTTTGTCTGGTTGTCAGCAAACCCCTCTCTGGAGATGCTGAAGGATGCACGTTTGTGAGGTGAACTCATTACCTTTGGGGCTGAGGAAAGCTTGCCAAGGGTAATGAGCCGCAATGCCTGATATGAAGTAGGTGTGCACACATATTTGGCATTTACCTGCTATTCATGTGTTTGATTTTGAAATGAAGTGAAAAAATGCACAAATATCAAATACGCTTGACAGCCAACACCACATAATGGTGGTCCTTTCAAATACATCCTATTCCTTTGTAGCACCAGCTGTTCCTACCCAGTCATGTTATCCACTCCATACTCTTTCTCGATGCTGATTCCCTCTTTTAAGGCAAGTATACATACCCCAAAGCCTAGATCAGCTGAATGTTTTCCATTTTGATACAGCCATCCTTCAGCACCAGACGAGCAACACAGAAATGAGAGAACATTCTTCCTGATTGTGGAATACTCAAGAAATACTGCATTATTTCACTTAGCTATGGTACGAACATCCTGCTTTACTTTCCAAGTTGCAAGGCATAAGGGAACGAATTAAAAAAATGTTTCTTCTGGCTCATTTTTACTGACACAGTGAAAGTGAAATCTGTTTGTGATTTGCCCGCTTCTGCCAGTATGCTCTTGAAAAGAAGAATAACTTTCAAAGACAGAAACCTCAGAGAGAGCCAGCAATTGCAGATTTCTCCTAAACCAGCATCAAACCCTGCACTCATCAACTCCAAGTAAAGTGGTTTCAATAAACCCAAGTCAGGTACCTGGAGCATGGATGTTTCCCATAAATGCCAAGACAAGGCCTTTTACTTTGATTTGACTGATGTTTTTGAGTTGAGTGACACGAGACACGAACTGAACTGCAGCTCCCACATGTGAATGCTGACCCAACATCTGCAGTTTGTGGCATGGATAGCCTTCATCTTGGTTAGACCATCCTGAACAGAGGAAACTACACATGCAAACAGGGATGTGATCCTCTTTATACTCATCCGTGTTGTTCTGATTTCAGGAATGTTGGTTCCAAGTCTTCTGTGATGACCAGAATCGGGCAAGAAGAATTTGCTACATATTTGGCATATCCTAATCTGATAGCCTTACAAGCTAATTTATGAGCTATTATTTAGGAATGCAGTAGATACTAAAAATATATACTGAATATCACCTTGGACAGCACAATCAAACATATGATAAGGTATAGAGTATTCATAAAGAATCAGAAGGCAAAATACCAGAATAACATACATATGCCAGTGGGCAGAACGCATCGAATGAATGGGTAAATGGGACTAAGTCATTAGTATCATTTTATCAGTTCACAGATATCACTGCCAAATCAAAGCAGCTACTTATTATTTCCCTAATAGCCACACTTTATTTTCCTTCATTACTCAACTTGCTTTAGTTTGATCCTATACAAGCTTAAAACTGCAGAAAAAAAAAATAGCCTGTATGGGAAATTGCTGTGGAATTGCAAAAGATGTTGAGCTTGCCAAAGAAAATGAACTCTAAAAACTGTTTTCCTTGTTTATGTGCTCTCTCCAGGCCCTCTTGTTTATGTAGGGGCTCAATAAATGATCAAGTTACCCTGCATCAGCCAGGCTGTGTAATTGTCTCTGTGTGCACTTTTGACCCATAGCGAATGCAAGAAAATTTAACTTAGTTTAAGCCCCTTTCACTGCAGGCAAACCTAACACAACTTACCTTACATTTACTGTGGGGTGGGAGCACGCGCCTAACTTGCACGCAGTGATATGCTACGTGCCAGAAGCCTGACACTGTATCTGAGGCCCAGGATTGTCAAAGGCACCCTAAGAGCTCTGGGAGAGCTTGTCTTTTTTCTACAAGTCTATTGCACAGGCACACAAATGAAGGACTTACCTGCCATGCCTCAACCTTCTTAATGTCTGCACAGGATCCATTAGTGAAAAGTCCTTTCCCAGGGGTACAGGTATATATATCCTGCAAGGCATGGGCAATAGAATAGACTGCCAAATACACATTATAGGATATCCGCAAATGTGTGTAGTCCATGTATGGTGTCTCCACACTGGTGATGTTCTCATCCCCTGTGCATGGAGGTCGGAAGGCAGCCGTTCCATTTCCAGCTCCCAGTCCCTCTTCATGGCCCTTGTGGAAAGAAGCTGAAGCTGGAGAATTTTTGGACTCATCGGGGAGATAGCAGTTAAATGTCTCCTCCCAAAACTCCTTGGCAAAGCCATTGTTGGTGGACTTCTTGGGATGCACCTTCTGCAGGAACTCGCGAAAGCCTGGGATCTGTCCTGCCTTCAGTGCAAACCCAATGGTGCTGCCAATGACGCGGAAGAACTCCGGCATGGCTATCAGGGAAGAGCTGGCCCAGGCCTCGCTTGCCAGCCAGATCTTGCCAGTAATGTTCCGCCTGACGATCTCTTTGATGAGGGGTTCCAGGTCTGGGCCACTGGAGAAAACAACGATCACCCTTGCCGTGGAGTTCTGGATGACCTCCACCACCTGCTGGATCTCCTCTTCATCTGAGTACTGGGAGATGAGCTCGCTAAAATCAATGCAGATGTCTCTCTCCTCCGCCTCCTCCCGAAACTTTTCAATCCCTGGCCGGCCATAGTCATCGTCAGCTGCAATTGTTCCCACCCAGTTCCAGCGAAAGTACTCGATGATGTCTGCCATCGCCGTGGCCTGATGCTCATCATTGGGGATTGTGCGTAGGAAGGACTTGAATTGGTTCTTGTTGCTCAAGAGACGACTTGATGAGGCGTAGCTGACCTGTGAGAGCACAGTGAAAAAGCATAACACATCATGAAGTGAACTGCCTGGGAATAAATTGCCTACATTTATCTAGCATCACTGTTAACCTGTGTAATCTCAGATCAATGAAGACAGAACTGAGCACCACACTGTCCGCCATGAACTCTTAGCCTGTGGTTGCACATGATCCATTCTGAGAGTTTGTATGTTCTTGTAGCTGTGACTGTTTTACAGAGGCACACATACAGGAGCAGCTGCTCGGACCTGGGAGACTGGAGCAAGCTCATGTCCATCGGTAAGTTCAAGGATCTGAGAGAGACACTGCCACTAGCTTGGAGGAATGGCAAAGAGGTGAGCTACGGGTGGCCTATATGCACCTTGCTGCACTTCCTGCCAAATCAAGAAACAAGAAGAACTTATCATTTAGATAAATGAGGGAAATGCACATAATCCAGGCAAAATACAGACTGCTTCTGTCCTGAACCAGACACAAGACAGCAGGCTCGTATTGCCATCATGGACCTACTCTGAGGAGCACTGTCTGTCTTCTTTCCTTTCACATCTGTCCCCATCCTCAAACAGGCTCCATCAGGCACCATATGCATGTTATAAACAATCCCTGCCAGCTGAAGCAAGAAGAATGTGATGGATATCAGTCGCTTTGACCCTGCAGGGTGCTAAGGTAATGCTGGTCAGTACTACCTTATCACTATTCCCTGGTTGCTGGTCAAAATGAGCAAAGAAGCCAGCAGGCACTCCACGCTCCATGAGCCACTGTGTTTTACAGTTACAATGGGATTTCATTTCCTTTTCTAAATCTATCAAGAAATATTTTTTTCCTAATCAGAACAAGTGCCATATGCTCTTAAAATATAATCTGGAATTTTTACAAGTAGGAAGAAAACAACAAAAGACAGAAGAAAATAGTTTAAAGATTTGGAGAACTTTTAAAACTCACTTATCTTTGCACTTTGATATTGGTATCTGAACTCTTTAGGACTGACTCTCACTTTGAAACAGTCTTCTATAAACAGTTCATTCTGTAAAAGGTGGAAATTTACAGAAAACCTTATTTCCTCCTTAAACTTTGGCATTTAAAGTTTCTGCAAGAAGACAGGAAAGGAGGTCTCTTGGTGCAGTTTCAAGAGCCACAGGAGCAAATCCTGCTTTCACAGAGCAATACTCTCCCCTGGACAGGCTCCTGCCCAGTGCTGCTCTCATCTCCTACAACCTGCTACCAGGAGGTACAGGCAAGGTACCCCATTGCGCGAGTGCTGTAAGGGTACGCTGAGGTGAGATACTGAGAAACAGAACTGGAGTCGTAACATTTTCAGTTTCTATGTCAACAGAATGAGTAATGAGCCTTGCATTAATTGTAAATATACCTCCTACATGTATTGAAATGCAGGGTCTATTAAGTATTGATTTGCTAATGGCCTTGCTATAAATGGCAGCAATAATGCATATTCTAATGCTGCCCAACAGCTCCTCATTTAAAAGCCCGCTTTCAGCTGTCATACTTCAACCACCTGGCTGAGATTTTGTTCCAGAACTGAACCTCCTGACATCTACCCATTTCAGCAACCTCTAGATAAGACTACTGCCTCATAGGACAAATGCCATTCCCAGTTCAAAGGGAAAGTTTAAGAACTGCAAACATCTCTTATGTCGAGATGAACCTACCAACCCTTCTCAGATACCCTTGTTCACTGGGTAAAGTGATGTGTAAATTAACAGTATGCCTTAAAATGCCATCATGGTGTTTATTACATGCCACCTTCCAATGCTCCTCTGGGCAATACCTAGATAGCATGTATTAGTCTTAACTTAAACCATTCTTGTCCTGCTCAGAGAGTCCATTTTTCAGACTCCTGTGAGAGAGTTAGACTGATACGTTAAATAGACAAGATATATTACTGTGCACCATGCAGACAAGAATCTTTCCTTCTTCATTTGTGGTGCAGATGGGAATTGGAGCCCTAGCTGAAATAAAGATACATCCTCTCAGGACAGACTGAGAGTGCAGTGTGACACAACCTTATTACCAGCTCCTATGAGCGCTGGCATCTGTATTCATTTTAGAAGAGGAATTGGAAACATTAGGTTATACGAGACAACTCATAAACGGATAAGGCCAAGCACTTTTTCCAAAGTTGTCTTCAGTGTGGAAATCTAAAATCAAGACCAAAAACATTAAGCTATAATATGCCAGCCTCATAGTCTGCCTAGGGTCTTGGCAGAGCAACAAGTTTGTAACACAAAAGGATGGAACTATGGATGCACTGGCCCCAGTAAACTCATAAGACAGCAAGAAGGATGCTGTGACACAGGAGCTGACACAACTACACCACCACACGGATGACCCCAGGACATGGTGGGGCATATCCACATGCTCTCACAAACCCCGTTTTGGAGGCCTTAGGGCAAAAGAAAGGCAGGTTGGTCCAGAAGAAACCTGCACAGCACCTGCTCAGCAGAAGCAACAACTTTACAGATCACCAACTTGATGATCAAAGATGCTGAGAAACCTAAGAGTAGCTGGCAATGACTGAGCTCTGCCTTAAGTGGGCTCTGTGGGAGCTGGGCATGACCAGACAGTGACCATGGTGTAAGTAACATCACATAAACTGTCAAGGCTGGCAACTGTCGATGACTAACCTAAATTACCCGTGTTCACAGACTAAACCACTCTAGAGGACTCCAGTCCTCCTAGACTAAGTTGCTGTTGGCTGAATGTTGCTATTGGCTGCTTGGTAACTTTTGTGTTTGGGGATTGCAAATTGCTAGCAAGACATATTTCTACCATTAGAAAGCCCCTACATTTTATGTTGTTTCTCTCCTTGAAATTCTATTGGAAATGTCAAAGACTGAACAAGCCATGGAGGCTGAACTCCCACTGAGACCTTCTGGTGTGCAGTTAGGACACACTGGCAGAGAGTGGGATGGAGAAGCCGGCATAGCTGCTGCACATACCTGTACTGGCCCATTTCTAGTAAATGTGAGCCTGAAGACTTGTATCTCTGACTAAAAACAATATTTGGTTTGATTTGACATAATAAATTCGGAGGGAAAAAACCAGCTTGCTTTCATGTAAACTGTTGTCCCACTTGACAAGCCAGTGCTTCTCATTGTTGTGTTGCCCCTCAGCCCTCCAAGGATGTATTCATACAGCTAGGGCCATTGCATTTCTAAACCTTCCTTTATTTGAAGCAGAGCTGGAGTGCGTAAGGCAGCAGTGCAGTTCCCTGTCCTGGTTCTATAATGTACTTTAAGATCCTCTCCAAACAGCAATACTCCCAGCCGTACCTAAACAAGAGAAGTGAAAGCATACCTGAGGTATGTAAAAGAGTCCCAGCAGATTGGCCACAGCAGTAGAGATGCCAGAGCCAGTTGCCCCCACGACTGCAATGGTGGAAGGGATATGTTCTGAGCAGTTGCAGAATTCATCCAGGTTCAAGGAGTCTATCTTGTTCTGGGCCACAAAACTCAGTGTAGCCTCGAGTGCTTTAGAGACTGTATTGCAAGTGTCAAATATCCTGTATCCTAGGGTCATGTTGGGAAGGAGAGTTGGGCTACTGTTTATTTCTTCTATGGCAAAGATCATAGCCTGGAGCCAGCGGAAGCCTCGGAAATTATACCTGGGGGAGCAAAAACAAAAATACAATAGAGTGAGAAGGAGGGAAACAGAGGAGAGGAGACCAGGACTGAGACACAGACAGAGTGAAGAATTCCAGATACAAAAAGCAAAAGCAACCTATGTGATTTCTTGCATCCTACTAAATTTGGAAAGTTTTGGGTTTGTGTGCAGTGGTTACAGAAGAGGCACGTATATGCTACAAAGCTTTGTTCTGGTTTTCAGCTCTTGAGTCTGGGAGCTCACCTCAGAGGTTGTGAGGATGCGATGAACTTTTCTAACTCCTCTAAAGTCTGGGAAGATGGAGAGAGAGCATGTCTGGGGCATTGGCTTTGGCCTGCCCCATCTGCTCAGTACCCTAAATCTGGATGTCGTGCTTCCTGGGCAAATGTTCTGACACAAAGCTACACCTGCTAGGTTTCCTTTCAAGCTCCTCTGACATGTTTCTGAATGGAGATGGCAGTGTCTGCTAAGCCTGTGCTGAGCACAGTGCTGCCAGGGACTTGGGCTAATTAGATACTTCAGTGTTTTCATTAAAGGAATAACTTTTGCCTTTATTATCATAGAATCACAGAATGGCTAGGGTTAGAAAAGACCTTAAAGATCACTGAGTTCCAACCCCCCTGGAATGGGCAGGGACACATTTGCTTTAGACATGAGCTCAGAGAATGCCATCAGAGCTGGCCTGTGAAATTGAAACGGTGTTTCTGAAGACTCCTCTGTTCTCTAAAATGGAGCAGCTGTGTTTTCTGACTCACTCTCAGCTGTGCATGGAGCTAACCTAGAGTTGGGGAACAGTGGCAAGAGTGTCCTGCAGGACATCGCACGGGCTGGCAGTGAAAGAAGCTGATGCAGGGTGAGTGATTACTTATCCAGAAAAAGGGAAGCTTTTTTGTGGAAAGCAGCAGGAAGAAAGTCACTTTGACATGTGTTATTCTCAAGTTTTACCTTCTGTGTTTTCTCCTGTGAAGCTGCCAAAGCAACTGGTTGTGTGCCTGAGATAATTCAGCTGGAATGGCAGAATCTTTCATGAACTGAAACCTGCCCTTCCTTCTAATGCACTACGTAGGTCAGGATAGCAGCTAGTATGCAGTTTCGTGTTAAGTTGTGGCTGGAAATGGGAAAGTGTCAAAGCTGTTATGCTTGCAACCCATTGGAAAAACTGATGGGCCCCAGAACTGGAAGAGCCTGGGGAAATAGCCTGCAGAAGAACAGCTTCTGTATGAAGCTGTAAATTTTAGGTTTCATGAGTGCCATAGTGAAACATTTTGAGAGATGTTTCTGTTACAATGGTGAAGCTTTCTAACGAGAAGCTTCATGAAATCATGAGCTTTCAACCTCTGAGATCTACGATCTGAACATTTTTTCATTGCTGGATTAAATGAGTTGCTTCCAAAGTTGATGTTAGCTATGTGCAACTTCTTTAAAGCTGAATGAACATAGCCACATGACTTTCACTCTCAGTTTTATCTGATTTATCTGGGATCAGAACTCTTAAAGACATCACATCTAAGGTTTATATTTAAGTCTTAAAAACTTCATTTATTCAATTTCATTTCACTTACTCTATCTATCTTTGACCAACTTCCAAAGGAGGTTCTGCTCTGCAGTTGTACCTCAAAGACCAGACAGCACGGTTTCATTACAAAGCTCTTCAAGTCAAAAAGTTTGAGGTCAATAAAAATCCTTAGTTATAATTTATGATCAAAGGGTCACCCTTAAGAAAACGGATACCTTTCAGAACACGTGAGTTGGTGGGTTACTTTTAGAAGTAATTTGGTAACTTAGATTCTTTTTTGCTCTAGTTCCAAACCTTTAAGGAGTGAGACGCAATGGAAAAGCTCTGAACTAAAAGGACAAGTCTCAGAGTGAATGAGGCAGTGAGCGCTGTGTACAGAACAAAGATGTGCTGGTGGTCAGTAATGCTTGATGGGCTGAATGGCAGCAAAGAGGGGTTTTGTGACACTTCTTTTTAAAAAGCTAAAGGTGTTTACAGATATTTTTAATTAAAATCAAAATAGGATTTGAAGCAAGGAACTACATTCAGGCTCCTCATGTAAAAGAGAAAAATCTGAAAGCACTTTCTGTATTTAAAGGGAAGACTGATGAGAAGCTGGGAAGTTCAAAGGTACCACTATATCATGGTGCAAAGCTTCACACATTGGAGTATGTTTAAAAGTAAATTTAAGCCTGCTCACATTATTATACAGGTGGAATATGACACGGAATTTTGCCTGCTTGACAGCAATTTGGCTTAATTTTTTTAAAGTGTAGCAAGGTGGTATCTTCAAAAGCAGTGAGAACTGGCCTGTCTTCTCCTTGTCTTCAGAGAATGTGTTTGCCATTTAATTCAGTAGCTGCAGACTAAGGGCCACGATGCAAAATTACTTTTCTTTTCCTTTCTGACATATGTTCCTGATGAATGTTTATTTACAGCTTAAGGCCTGTACTTCAGGTACTCGAGTTTGTATTTGTTTTGTTTTGGAGGGTAAAGGAGGGCAGGGGGTGTTTTCTGGGAGCTAGACTCCAAAATGTCTTTGAAATGCTTTCGATAATTTACTTCAAACTAGCCTGGGCAGGAGACTGGCAGTTTTCTCCAGTTGCAACTCTCATGATAGCAGCATCAGCAGATCAAGAGAATCAGATGGGATGGAGAAAAACACACCTTGCTCCATCTTCTCTAATACCTGACAGAGCTTCAGACAAGGTCTCATTTTTTTTTTAACCGGTAGAGTGTTGTACCAGCACTGTACCAGAGCTAACATCATAGATATGGTCAGATGAAGGCAGTGCCACTAAAGTAGTCTAAATGAAGCAAGATTTCACAATTCCTTCAATCCCTGCAATGGGAATTGTGTGGATAAATTCTCTCCCAGTGTACTGTAAGACCGCAGCAAGGGGCTGCAGGTAGGAAGCTGCCTCTCAGCTTGCTGTGTACATGAGTGATGGGTAACAGCAGCCTTTGTACATGGCAGCAGGCTACACTGCTCCCGCTGGCCTCCTGTGCAGTGATGCTGCTGTGACTAACACGACTAGGAGCTAGAATGCTCTGTCAACCATGCAGAAATTTGACTGGTAATTTCCATGAAGAAACTGAAAAGGATTTGCTAACAGAAGGAAACTTTTCATTAAGGTTTCCAGAAGCTTTAAATAGCCACCGATATTTTCTTGGCGGAAAATAAGCAGCCTCCAAAACTTATTTTCTGCCAGATTACTTTACAGGTATGCTGGCCTAGTCTTGTATTTTAACATTTCTGAGATGTGGTGCTATGAAAAGCAGTCATTAAGATCTAAATGAGATTTTAATGTAAATAATTCAGTGCCCAAAGGTGTAGATAGGAATTTTTATTTACACTCAGTTCTTTAAATGTTTTATGCCTCTTCTCCTACCTGTCAGCGTATGCAACCCCCTGATCTTTCTATTTCCAGGCAGAAGCACAAACAGGGAAAGAAAAATCACAAACAATTTCTCCACAAATCCTCATCTTAATCTTCACATCTCCAGGGGACAGATTATCTTCGCAGCAGCCCAGTGTGCTAGATAGTAACCACACAAGATCTCACTGATTTCTGTAGGTTTCTTTCTAGTTGGTATAAATGTGTCTATACACGGGTGCTCAGCATGGCTTAAATGTCTCAGTCAATGTTACAAAGTAAGGATATATAATTTAAGGAACATAGCTCACTGCATGGTTTGAGCTCCTTGTAGCTCCATCCCCTCTTTGTCTGTCTGTTTGGTTTGGTTTGAACAGCTCATACACTCTGGATCCAGCAGGGAAGGTAGTCCTGATTCCTGTCAGTCTCCATAGGGGAGAAATTCCCAGCCTCATGTGAATTCATGACCTTCATTTATCAAAACTAAAGTAAAAGCAACAGAATATGAAGGAAAAGAAGAAATACCCTCCTATATTCGACAGGTACTTTTATTCAAGAATGGTGGCAAAGCCTGCACATGCCTCCCAGCTCACGCCAGTACTCCTCTTTCTCTAGTGGTTGTATGCACATACTAATTTCTCTGTCCTCTCTAGATTTCCAGTACATTAATTACATGTTATTGCTGCTACTACCACCACTATTACTAAGCTATGCAGAAGGGAGACCTTCAGTCGTTTGTGGGATTCCTGCAGTCAGTGGGTATAATGAGTGCTTACCACTCTTATAAGCTAGGGATATGGGTAAGGGGAATTGCACGGACCAAAGGACTTAAAAATGAAAAAAATAAAATTCAGAAGGTGAGTGGAAGAGAAAGAGGAAAAGGAAATAATTTGTTCTTAAGGAGGAAGTTCTAAATAAAATGTTATGCATTCAGTTCTCCAGTGGGATTAGCAAACATAATCACAACGGACAGAATTAAAATTCTCTTTTCTCTCATCCAGACAGACAGATTCAGTGAGCTAAAGTGTCCTGGAGCCATGCTGTGTGAAGTCCTGCGCTATGACATGGGGACAATGTCTCACCACAGTTTCACAGCCTGGAAGCTATGCATCATGGTGTGGGACCTTGGCTAGATTGCTGATCAGAATATGGGGAATATGCATTAAAAATTATGACCTAGTGACACTGTATTGGCAACACTGTATCTCAGCTCAGTAAAGATAGGTCCTCACTGCAAACAGTTTGTTACACTAGGAGGAATCTATGGGCACCGTTCGTCTGTGCAATAATGCGAACAATAATACTAATGATACCACCACTACAGCTAATCTATCTGAAATCAAGAAAGGACAGAGAAATCAGGTTATGAATAAGCCTCTGTGGGTGCTGACAGGGAATAGGGGTCAGGGAGTGCATGTGCTGCGCTCAGCCTCTGCCTCCATGGCACACATCAGATAGGCATCAGCAAATGTTGTAAGTAAAGTTGCTGTAACAGCACATGCAAAGGTACACAAAGACAGAAGGTGTATTTATATCAAATGCAGGATGCTTGATTGCTTAATCAATAAGCCATGTAAGTATTTCTGAAACACAGGAAACAAAATTGCTCTCATGTTCCGTACTCCTAGCTGACATTTGGTGTGGCAAAATCGTCAGTTTTCACTTTGGACTCTACAACTCAGTGCTTAAAGCGTGAAGATGCATTTTCAGTAGAATCAGCATAAAAAGAACGGAGAACAGATCGTTACTGTTCCCTTTTCCTTTTGCTGCAAACTTATGTATATAGTTTTCCAGATAATCATGTGCAAGGCATGCACAGGAGGTTCAGGCCAGTGCATATGCTGAGCTGGGGAGAAAGGAGCCATGCCACAAAAGCATGAAGAGTGAGAAAACTGAAGGAGTGGAGAGAAAACTGTCCTACCCATTTTCAGAAGCCCTGTTTGGGAGCATAGGTACGGCACTGAACACAGCTAAATGTGAGGGGAGATGTCCAAACAGCACAGGTCAGGTTGAATGGTCCTCAAAAAAAAGGAAAGCCACATTATCTTGAACCGTTTGACACTGAACTCCAGAACAGACAGGCGCAAACCATCTGCAGGGTTTCAGTGGAACATCTAGGTCTTTTCTTGGTCCAAAACCAAGGAGTTTTTCATATGGTCTAATGACTTGTTGCTGTTGCCACCTCATGGAGGATTATGAGGAAAGAGAGGATGCCCACATACTCCTAGAGTGACCTGGGTCTAATTTTCTTACGTGATGTGAGACACATTTTCCTGTGTAATAAAGAGTTTAAAAGCTGTACAGAGCCATGTAAAACGGGTATAAAACTGATTTGCCTCAGCTTTGACAAGATACAGCAGTGCTGGAGAAGGCCCGGAGAAAGGCAACAAGAGCAGTCAAAGGTATGGAACTGATCTAACATCTTTGGTTTGACCAGATACAACCATGCTTATTGTCCTCTAGTGGATTTCCCATCCTATAAAATTTTTTGACACTACAAGATGGGGAAAATTTTACTTTGGAAAGAAACGAGAGCCTATCTTTTTTTTTTCTTTTTTTTTTTCCTTCTCCCCAGAAAATATGAGTTCCCTCTTTCCATACTAGCCACCTGCACAGAACTGAGGAAACTGAAATGTGATATGAAAGACTCTATCTTATGACTTGAAGAATGCATTGGGCTCTTAGAGTCAGCATACACAAACCTGCCCCAAGCTACTACCTAGATACAGAGTCCAAAACCAAAAAGGACCACTATGGTTGCGTTGTGAGATCTCTGTACAAGTCTAGTCAGAGGAATTTTCTGGCTTAAATACTGCTTAAAATAGAAAAATGGTTTCAGGAAAAATATATGCTCTTAATTTAACATGTACAAATAACAAGGAAAACACCATCACACATAAACTGTCCCATGGATTAATTATCTTCATCAAGAAAATCTGATGATCAAAAAGTCTCTTCTGAATTAAATATTTCCTGGAAATGGACATTTTCTGGTAGACATGTGCAATGAAGGAGCTTCTAGTCATCTCTGGTCCAATCAACCCCTTCTTCCTATTTCGTTGCTGCTACCTCTGCAGCTCCTTGAAGGAGTGAGGCAAAGTGGCACGAATGCCTCTTCATTCAACTCCTCTCTTCTGGACCTGAAACTTCTTGGTGCAGAGGTAAGAGAAATACAGACTCTACCCAGGTAAATCAGGTGGAGGATGCTTTTCAGCAGATAAATGCCACCCAGAAAGATCTCCCACTGTGTCCTTAAAACAGCTGGTCTGGCTTTTCAGGCTTTGCCTGTTGTTGGCAGTGCTACCTCATGAGCAAATCCTTTGGTAACCACACACTTGTAGTGCTCGTGGGGGAACATTCTCCTGTCATCTGTTCTAATAATGTGACCATGTCAAGGGAGTCACCGAGGCTGACGCAGTGCTGACAGAAATGAAAGCTGTGTTCAGTTTGCAAATACCTGCACTGTCCTACCTGCCACCTGGAGCAGGTGAAGAAGACAATGGAGCTGAAAACATCCATTGCTTTTCAGCATTCCACTTTCAAAATGCTGCCTGGAGAAGCTGTGGATGCCCCATCCCTGGAGGTGTTCAAGGCCAGGTTGGATGAGGCTTTGAGCAACCTGGGCTAGTGGGAGGTGTCCCTGCCCGTGGCAGGGGGGTGGAACTAGATTTTTAAGGTCCCTTCCAATTCTACAATTCTATGATTCTATGATCTGGAAGAGAAAGAAAAGCTGAAAATCCAGCAGAGCTTCTTGCTCCATGAAGTAGACATTTCACATACATTTAGTTCATTACTTTCTTGTACATGCACAGAAGAAGCCAAAAGAAACCCAGCTTAATTACCCTTCTTTCTGTGTGCTCGCTATGAGACCATCTGGGGATGATCTCATAACCTAGATGGATGTGTCCTG